ACCGCATCCACAGCATCCGCCTCCACCGCCAGTACTGTAGCCGGTTTGACGGGCTTTCCTAGAGGATCCGGTGAGAACCTGAACGGAAGAATCAGTGAAGTCAAGAGATTAGGAAAGTAAATAAGTTCATAGAGAAATTAGAGAATGGTAAATAAGCTACCTGAGTGCGGGTGACTTCTCTCCAGATGTTTCCGGAGCGAGATTTGCAGAAGTCGACTTCGTTCTGCATGACCGACTGCATGTGCTGCATGTAGTTGTAGAGCATTGGCACCGAGATCACACAGACGAGCGTGGCCATGGTGGAGAGGGCCACGCCGACGAAAGCGAACCTCCTCAGAGAGTGCGCCTCCGATTCCCAGTGCTTCTCGTCGTATGTCATGGTGTGAAAACCACAGATGCTGCGTTCCTTATATACAACTTTAATGGCCGCCACATTTGCGGGCAAGGGCTGTCAACATCGGCACAGTTCCGAGTTCAACACTCCAGTTGAAGGTCGTGTGAAGATAAAATCGGACTCAATGCTGCTAGGTTTTGATTTAATCCGCTTTAGTTTATGTAGTGAATTAGCGAAGCAGGTGAGATCTCCCGGTCCAGATAGAGTGATCCTGCCAGATTGAGGTTTTATTCAGATCACAGCGGCAATGCAGGCGTAGGAAATTGTCGACTAGGTACTAGAACAATGTTCGGATGAGGTTTCCTGCCTCTTAAATAAAAGCCCTCAATGACCCTACCGGACCAAGTCTTCAGTTGGTCCACTCTTCTTTTCCCTCACTATTTCCTCACCTGGCTAAATTTCGATACTTCCAATGTGCGTGAAAGCCTGTTCTTGTGGCAATCAGTTGTTTTATGATTCGAAGCAAGCATCACTGCAGAAAAAATCGAAAATGATTTTTTATTGCTAGCCTCGAGATGGTCGTCTCTACAGGAACCCACTGGAATGTGAATCGAAATCGGCTGTTGGTGGGTCTGTAATTACAAATAGGCATGTTGCATACCGCTCTGACCTCTGAGCCACCTTCACATATTTCAGGTCTATATACAGGGGTGGCCAAAAAAGAGACACTTCACTCACATTCAAAACGGAATTATTTACGCGTCGCGAAACCAAACCAAATGACCCCAACTGAATATTGAAGAGCACGTTATAATCTATCAACAAGCTACACAACAGCCTTCTACACCGACGACATCAGAAGATTTTCCCACGGAAGCATTGTGCGCGGTACGATCTCAACGAGGTCGTCGTGCACTATGCTTCATACCATAGACGATTACGACGTCTCTGAAGCGGTCAAAAGCGGCTTTGCATAGTAACAGCTAATGTCTCTGGAAAACGTTTATGAAAGTTATCACAAGAATGCTGAGTTGTGGGCAAAACTTTCGCCCAGCCGGGATTCGTACCCGGATCTCTTGCTTTCCGGGCAATTGTGCTACCAGTTACACCACCGGGGCACCATTTCACCCCAACTCAGCTTCGATGGTGAAGTTACCATAGCTTATCAGCATTCACACGTATAACGTGATGAACCGGTAGGCCGATTTCGGCATTCAACCGCAAGGCTGAAAGCTTTACTAGATGTTACCATTTTGAACTTGTTTTTATTGGAAACAACCAAACATTTACCCTAAGAAAAAAAAAAATAAATTAAAAAAAAAACATAAAATACATTAATTAATAAAAAAATAAATGCTGTTGGTTACAGCCGCCCAGGTGCGTTGCGAAAGTATAGCATACGCACTGGTTGAGTTTTGCCCGGAAAGCGAGAGATGCGGGTACGAATCCCGGCTGGGGCGAAAGTTTTGCCCACAACTCAGCATTCTTGTGATAACTTTCGCAACGCGAACTGCGGCGTAAAACAGCAGTTATCCAATAAAAACAAGTCAACATTTAATTGTTGAAGAAATTATGTAGCAGCTTCAGGTCGGAGCGATTACGGTAAGCCTCGTTGAGCTCGACGGTGACGGCAGATGACGTCATATTCTGAAGACGGCGGGGCAGTGAAGGAGGGCCTGCTTCTGTTACGGGGGACAAAATATTTCGCCGTAAAACTTGATTAACATCGGCTCCCTGTGCGACGAAAAAGTATTCCGATAGTGGCATGGCGAAGTGCTCCCTTTTTTTTGGCCCCCTGTGTATATCAGGTCGTTTCAGAATGGTCTCGGCACGTTTTCCGATCCCTGACTTTCAATATGCGTATTGTTGGCCCAACCAAAATTGTGAGCTGGAAGAGAAATTCTTTGATATACATTCTGTTCGAAAAGATGCCGCGTTTGAGTGGTAAGCATGACCCTAATGCCAACCTCTAATTCTGTCGTCATTCTATGTGAAGTTTTATGGGGCTAGAAATGGTTCTACTAACGGCAATTTCCATCCGACATGAACATTTCTGAAGATATTCACTTTGCTGATAGTAGTAACTTTGTGGCAGTAATTCAGTTGCGACGCATTTTTGCAGTTGATAATTAACACAGGAAAGAAGTTTCCGCAATTAGCGTTTTCGCAGCGAGTTTAAGTATTCTTTGAGATACCTGGAGTAATTGTTGAAATAGAAAAACTCGCAGGCTTCAGTTTGATTCCTTGCTTCTAAGCTGCCGGCCACCACTGAGCGACATCGTTGTCAACGTGTTAAAGTTTTTGGGGATTAGCTGGAAGGAAGAGAGTGCAGTCACCGCCATCTGCGGAATGCTCGCGTCCTCTCCACTAGGTGATGTGAATTTGCAAGCATTCAATTAAAGTTCAAGGAACTCGCCTCACTTTCCACCCGACCCCCTCAATGAGGTGCCTACCAACTCCGCCAGGCTCCATTTCCTCGTTTTGTAGATGGAGGCTGCGAACATGCCTTGGCGCGTCCGCGGCGGTCGTGGCCAACAGCCCCGTTCGGAAACACTTAAAGACTAACACAATTTAACGCAATTGACGGGAACGCCTGAAGGGTTTTGAATGTCCGACCTCGAAGGGAGCCGCCCTTTAGAATGTAGAAGATCTTTGATTTCAACTGGAGGCGTTTTGTTCGAGTCGATGATATACGCGCATGTGAGACTGAGAGCGAGAAATAGCGAGAGCTTTCTGAACGACCTCATAGATAGCATATTGATATCCTTCAGTTATCGCTTAGCAAGTAGCTCTTTTGAGCAGCGGATGAAGGGGAACTGCCTGCCTTAGACAACTAGCAAAAAAATGAGAAGAGGGGAAGAGGATGACGAGGGACAGGAAAAGAGCAAACAAAAGAGAAAGAAGTTCGAACAGAGGAATCAGAAAGCGAAGATGGGTTTGAAATGTTCCTGAAAAGGGAAAAAGGCCAAAGCGCAGAAACTCAGGGTTCCGGAGAGGATGTTGCAGAGGAAGGCGAGGTTTTGAGGCAATGAAATCGCTTTGGAACAACTATGACTAATGCACAAAATACTATAAGCACAGTTCAGATCACAATGATATGAATTTCAATTTATTACATGCTGAACAACATGTAAACAAAACACAACAAATCATGAAATAAGTAAATTACATATCGTATCAAAATGACAGGGAAATAGCACAAGAAGCTTACCGACAGAATAAAAAAGAAAAAAGTGTTTCTTCATTCAACAAGTAGCACTAAAAAGAAGGATGGAAATGGGACGATATAGAACAATTAGCCTCGAAGCGGACCAAAACTTGGTAAGAATCGCATCCCTGGATTCTTCGTTTGCTCAGCTCGTTTTTCGTTGGGTTCGATTCGTGCGCGAATTTATCACTTATATCAAGCACATGTTTACAAACTGTCTGCACAGCCAAACGTCGACACTCTAGTGAGCCTGCTGCCCAAGTAGGCGTATGCACAAAATCACTCCCTAACACGATTCAAAATCATCATAACGAATATCCGGACAGCGACTGAACCATTTTAGCAAAAGGATGTCTCATGCTCGTATTCTAACCGGCAGCTACACGCTTCTTTGCATGCTCCAAGAAATTTTCTGTCAGTCTTCATTTTGGCAAGTTCCAGCTAGTCAGTCAAAAGTCATGAGACTCACGTTTTCATGCTTTGCCTGTCTCTCTATGTCGGTAATACTGCGCAGGGTGGGGCATAAATATGGTAACAAATTAATTGTGATCCAGTTCGAACTGGAAAGTTCGAACCAGGATATCAACGTTACAGCAGTCGTTAGACCAATCCTTCGAACGGGGGGGGGGTTTCCACTACCTCATTACGAATCAAGACATATAACAGCAATATGGAGTGCTATCATGAGTGTATTCAAACAATGTTAATATAAATGCATAAAATTAATGTTTTAATCCTGAAAATGGTCCAGGTTTAGAAACGAGCATGGAATATGATATGCGAAACGACCGCCAGATCTTGAGGGTCGTGATCGCTCGTGTAGTTCATGCAAGATATCTATGTCGGATTGCACGCTGTCACTGCCCACGCGTGCTAATGGGAATTTGGGACACATACAGCCACAAGTCACAGGCCATACCGTTTTATCTTCAGTAAGAGTCACAGCACAACTTCTTTCAAATGTCGACGTTTTTGAAAACGCAGCCTATTGAGAACCCATGCAGAAATCATGAGAAATGGCCCGAAACCCGAAAAATGGATCTCTTTCTTTGTCTGTCGATACGCATTTATAAAAACTCAGTGAGTGCTGCCCTCTTCTACACTACTCTCTCTGCTAAAGGGCTAAAGTAGAACGGCAATAGGATGGGCGGGCAGCGGCGCACATGCAACATAAGGCTGCTAGGCTGCTGGGCCACGAAACGAGTATCCCAGCACCCTTACGGGATCCCCTGCCTTTGAACTGTAAAACTGAACTCTGACTCTTCTGCAACCTCCAACCTTAGTGATGCTGAATGAATGCTTTTACCTACATTTCTCCTTCATTAATTCTCAGAGCTGTTTCTCACAATACTAGCTGTTTATAACACAGATGCTGATTGCCAAAATCCGATTTGAGGTAGCAGGCTCGGGAACAGCATGTATCGGGAAATGGTTAACAGCGAGCTTGGCCGTGCATCGAAGAGCACTGCAGTCGCTATATTCGAAAGAAGAGCAAAAGCAGTCTCATCAAACAATAAATCGCCGAAGCCAGCCTCGAGAAAGGATAAAATCGAAGGAGAAAGCGATGAGACAAGTCGGTCAAGCCCTTTCTTTTCAGATAACTGTGAATAGAGAAGAGGAATCTTTTCTTAAGCCAGAAGAACTCGTCACCAAATAAGCAGGCTCACAGAAAAACAACGAGCGATACTCATCACAACGTTCAAAGAACTGGAGATCAACCCTGTGAAGAATGCCCTCAGAGTACTCGTTATGTAAGTTGGTGAATATCAGCGAATCACTGTAAGTCTCAATTTTTTTGAAGTCTTTTTTAAAATTTCAGGCTGTTCTCTGAGGTCCCTCATTACAAGCTGATTTGGCCTCAGTTCCGAGCAATACCAGACTCTTCCCTGATGAACGCTGTCGAGCTCAGGTAAGTGATTAATGATTACAAGCAAAGCGCGAGTTTCTTCTAATAGTGCCTAATTGGGTACCACCAAGGAATGAATCCAGCTTTCACAGTAGCTACTGTAGAGTAATCATTAATTAGTGGCTCGCCCACCCACGGTGTTAGAGCCCAGAGCAGTTCAAGCCAGCGAATTGATTTTTCATGATTTTAAGATGGCGTAGATCCATTCAACTTTATCACCCCATTTAAATTTGCAGCTCCACAGCTGTAGAGGCAAAAATCAAAGCTTATTCGCAAGTGCTCGTTCAGAGGCAGAACCCAAGCAGAGGTCGTGCGAGCAATTCCCTTCTTTTTGTAGGATGGACCCTTACAGGCTAGTCACAGATGTGGCTTCTGTTCATGGAGATCACCCGAAGAGGGCGCTAGGGCCCTGCTATGTCAGCTGCAGCAGCTGCAATTTCTCCGCCCGCGGAAGCTATTGTCTGACGCGCTCCTATCTGTTGCGCTCTGTCGGCTTCAATTTCCAGGTAGAAACTTCTTTCCCGCCATTTACCAGGGAAAAGCACACAAATTCCTTTCTGGGACTTTGAATTGAAACCCAGATATGCCGATAAAGCTTCAAAGCTTCGCTGATTACAAATATGGAAACTAAAGCTGCCAAGGAAGTTGTGGGCGGTCAAAGTTAGGTAAAGTAAAGCGTTGCACATGAACCGTGCTGGATCAAAGGCTTTCAGAGTCGCCCCGAGGAGTAGTGGTAGTGCCCTCGCTCTTCACCCGGAAGGTCATGCATTCTCTTCCCGTTCGAATGCGAATTTCTGAAGAGCAGGGTCCTTTGAAAGCTTGGTGAGTGCCTAGCACACGGTTGATACGTAACGCTTTAGTTTTAGCCAACTTTGACTGCTCACAACTTCCTTGGCAGGTTCATTTTGCAGTTTTAGTTTCCATATTTGTAATCAGCGTTTGAAGCTCTATCGATATATCTGGGTCTCAATTCAAAGTTCCATGGGAAGTTGAATGCCTTTCCTTAGTAGCAATGCCAAAAAATTTATGAGAGCACACTCAAAGGTCCTGCTATCTCTTCTCTCGTTGGAAATTTTGTGAATGGATGAAAAATTTGGGACAACAAAGTTCAAAGTCATGTAGTAAACAAGAAATTTTCTATGAGGCGAACCTCGCAAAACGACACCTCTTCAAGATTTAGGGGAGAATGGCAACAATTCCAATTAAACATGCTCACATCCTCTCTTTTTAGCTTTTATGGGAGGTTATGCCCAAGTTGATGGTACCTGAAATTACTTAAACGAGCAGAGGCCCAAGGACCGCAGTTGCTTGTGTAAATTTTTTTCTTGAAAGATAATGAATGTAACGCCAAATAACAAAGAAGCGCCAGAATAAGCACTGACAACGATCGAAAACGATCCTCCCTCTCCCTCCCTCCTTCCCCCCCACCCAGTGCGGAACGAGCGAAGTAGCATAGTTCGTGGGGGCGGAGCCCGTGGTGTATCCTCAGGCCTTAGCGCTTTCTTGAGTCGTGGCGCCGAGTAGGTAAGTGCTCTATGCTCTACGCTTGCGTAGCACTCCAATTTCTCGCGCAGGGGTTTCTTCCATTCAGAACATCATTCTTTGCCTTTAAATTCTGGATTTCAATGGCGTTTGAATGTTTACTTACTCAGCGACTTGCAAGGCCCAGCTAGGAAGTGACGTAGGACCCTTTGTGCGCTTTGATACAATCGATATCTAATAGGGAGAATTATTAAGGATCCGTGGTAAAGTGCACCTTGTCGCATGGGCCGATCACCTGGCCGGCTCTTTCCCCTATACGTGGGCGCCATGGCAATTGCTCCTAGCCATGACATATATTGACTCGCCCGAAAATAGTGTCAGAAACTAATGCTCCGTACTTCGAATTAAAAGAATCCTTCTATCGGAAAAACTCCGCCTCATTCCCACAGAAACCACGATACGCTTAAAGGAGGATTGCACGGAAAGAACGAAGGTCGAAGAAGGGAGAAATCGCCTAGTGGGGAGAGCGGTGAATCTCTTGAGGGTGCGGACAGACACGCAATCGGCATCGAAAGATTTGACCTCTGAGATCTAGCATGGCTCAAAGTTGGCGAGTTCGGCGATCTCCGCCCACCGATCGTCTGATCACTCGCCGTAGTACAATAGGTGGCGAGTGATTAGATAGCTGAGAGAGCGTAGGGTTGAAGAGGGCAAAGCGATGAGAGTCCCATCAATGCTCAAATCAACGGACAAGGAAGGGGTCCCATTTCTCCGGTTCTGGGCCGTTTTTCGTGGTTTCGCTTTCTTTCTGGTACTACTCACCATCTCTACCTCAATTTGGAATGGGTTGCTTTTCCATCGTAAATTCGTCCTTTAAAGGAATCTTCCACGGAAAGAGTGATCATTTTGTCTTGTGTGTAGGATTAGTATTATCGAAACTAACACTTATGTTCCGTTCTTTTTGCTATGCTCATGAGGCTAGGGGCCTAAGGGGTATCGTTTTTCTAGGGTAATGGAGGCGGAGCTTTTTCCGCGGAAGATTCCTTTAACCATTATGGGTATCGCTAATAAGGCGCTATTGGTTTCAGAAGGCATGCTTCGGTTTACATGTGCGGCCTGGGTGCAATAATTCACTCAATGACTCGAGAGAACGATCTCGCCGTGCAGATGAAACCGAATCGCAAAGGCGCACATCAAATGGAATGTGCATCGGATCCATATCGTGGTCAGTGTTTTGAAAATCATCTGTAGATTCAAGTTCAGAGCATGAACTTCCAAAAACTTTCTCTCCCTTGCCCCATTTGTGACTAAAGTCGCGAATGGGACCATTACCTGACATGTGGCTACG